CCGACGCAAATGAGAGCCCCTCCCGACACGTCGGGGAGGCTTCCTTCTACATATGGAACTCTGACACTCTATTTGACCTTGTAGGACCTCAAACACAATCTACAGTGTATAGTGGCATGTGGATGCTGCTGTGTGACAGCTCTTCTAATTTATAGCCCTTTTTCTTAATGATCTAACTGATGAGACCTAAGTTAAAATATCCTTGGGTGAGCTACTGTATATTATATACTGACATTATTTCTTTTGGGCTTTAATGACAACTTTACACAATATTAATTCACTGACAAATGGATAAAAAATGACATCAGTATAATTAAGGGCATTGCTGTTGTGTCCTGTTATTTAATATGCTGTCACTTCTTAAATTTTAATAATAATCATTTGTATATCTTTGTCAACATTGCACATGGATAATTATTTGTATATCTTTGCCTGTGTTCACTTAATTTTACTTATAAACTTTTAAACTGCCTTGAACCTCCATTGGGAAAAAATGCAAGATAGGAAAGAAATGATGATGGTGATGGTGATGGTGATGGTGATGGTGATGGTGATGATGGTGGTGGTGATGATGGTGGTGGTGGTGATGATGATGATTACATCTTCTGAAGTTTTCAATTACACTGAATGCAAAAACTTGGAAAGCAACAGATACATTTTGTTTCATGGTTATTCCATTAGCATTTGTCAAAACATACTGGCAGATTGCCTTAAAGAAGTGGTCACATTTGAAATCCCCAATTGTGAGAATTAATTATAAAATTAACAATAATTTTCAATATTTTTATTTATTCAGTACACTGTTTGTATGAATTAAATGGGACAAGTTGGGGAGGTCACAATCAAATTGACATTACATCATATTATGTCTGCAGTGGATGGTTAAATGCATTGTGATGCTTTCCAATTCATGGCATGTGAACTGTGATTAATTTGGAGAGTAAGTGGCTATGCAGGCTGGCACTAAATACCATCCTCGGGGTGGAGTGGGGACTTGTCGAGCACACGCCACATACCCCAATGCTGCCCCAATGCCAGCTTCATGCCGGCCGGCCGACTGACCACATTTCTGCATTTCTGCAGTGCAGCATTTGGATGTGCTATATTGCAAGAACTAAGAATACCACCACCACCTTTTTGCCACTTTTGAAAGGAGCGGCATTTTGCCTGCCCTTTTGGGGCCAGCAAAGTGCTGCACTGGGGCCGTGGTGTGTGGTTGCCACAGCCTCAATTTAGTGCTCCCAGGGGCGGTGTGGAGCTGCCCCTTTTGGGCAGTCTGTAGAGCCCCTAAAAGATTGTACAAGCTCACCAAAAGCAAATTTAAAATGTGGGTATGATATTTCTTTATAGTCTTCAAGAAGCTTATTCTTCAACTCTGAGGCAATAAACACATCCTGAACCACCTTCATCGTATGGAACATGGTTCACCAAAATAGCTCTCTCTCTCTCTCTCTCTCTCTCTTTCTGTGTGTGTATGTGTTGGGACATACACTCAAAGGGTGTGATAATCCATCCCCCCATCACACAATTAACATGGTTTAACAATAGGAGAAGGATGCTTGCTTCCTCCGTGTGATAATCACCAAAGACTTTCAATAACAAATGAAAGTTCCACCCCACAAAATGCCTCAAAGGTCAAACTCAGCAATTTGAAAAGGATCCTGCAAATTAAATACTCAGCTGTGGTCTTGTGTATGTTGTGTGTCTTCAAGTCATAACTGACTTAAGTCAACCCTAAAGCAAGCCTGCCATGAGGTTTTCTTGACAAGATTGTTTAGAGGAGGTTTGCCATTGCCTTCCCCTGAGGCTGAAAGAGTGTAACTTACCCAAGGTCACCCAGTGGGTTTCATGGCTGAGCTGGAATTCGAACCCTGGTCTCCATAATTGTAGTCCAACACTCAAACCACTATGCCACACTGGACCTATGTGGTCTTACTGACTGTAAAATGTCTCTGTACCTCACTTCTATGTCACGTTTGGCTGTGACATTCTAGGAACATTTTATATCTAAACTCTTCAAGGGAAACTAGCCTGCTAATGTATTATTATTATTATTATTATTATTATTATTATTATTATACCATTGCTGGTGTGGTGGTAGTAGGGATGGATTTTTTTTAAGTGTAAAATGTGTTCAATATGAGGAAAATCCTGGAATGATGAGAATCTTTGCAGTGCAGAATTCTTATTCTCATTCTTCTATGTGGTCTTTTGGACTAAAAACAGCATATCATGTGCAGGAACAGCATATTCTGTGTAGAAAAAAAATACTTTGTGCAGAAATTTTCTCCTTTTTGTAGAAAATGTTCTTTTCTGCACACACAGAAAACACCCACAAACTTTTTACAGTATAAGGCTCCAGTCATAGCATTTATTGAACAAGAAACAGCATTTTCTGCACAAAAATACTTTTGAATATAAATATTCTTTCCCATGCAGAAAATGTTTTATGTATCAAGAAACCCTCAAAATACACACACACACACACACACACACACATTTTGTAAAGATTGAGTCCTGAACTGTGAATAATCTTTTTGAAGACTTTCTTGCTGCTAGAAAAAAAATTGCTAAAATTATTTATTGTGTCTTTCAAGAACAAAGTTAGTGAAGAATTACTTCCTAGGTGATAGTGCATCAGGAGGAGCATAATTATGCATGGAGGCAACATATTGTGTAATTAAGCTTATTAAACAAAACAATATTGATCCCTGTTCTTTTCATTATGATATACAGTTGGCCCTCTGTTTTTGTGGAGGATCCGTTCCAAACCCCCTACATGTGAAAATGGAGACTCACCAATATTCAAGACCTATAGGCTTGAATGGGTGTGCCCGCGGAGGGGGGACCCTATTGTTTTTAATGGAAGTCACCCCTCCATGAATATGCAAAACTGTGGACTTCAAGTCTGCGAGAACGGAGGGGCGAGTATATATCAGAGATGAATTTGTAAATCACAGATGAATTTATTGCAATGTGTTCATGGAAAGTCTTCTCTAATGCATACATTTGTGTTTGAAACTGTTGAAACTGGTAACACATTTATATTATTAATGAAGTGCTCAAACTTGTGCTTAAATGATATTACAACTATAAATTATTTGTTCTATAAAGAAAATTATGCCTACCCTAGAAATGTAGCTTCTCCAGAACTCTCCCTTCCTTATCCCGCTCATGACCCAAGTGAAAGTGATTGTGCAAATCACTTCCACACTGCAGCTGGCTGAAAAGAGATGTCACCTCAGTTCCAAACAAAGAGAAATCAGAGGGGCTCTGGTGTTCCAAGTTAAAAT